AAGGGAGATCTCTTCTAGGGCTCTGGGAAGAGATATTTATCGTGCCATTTTCCAAAAGTCTTCGGGCAGAAATGGTGAGCGACCCCTTACATATTGTCCAAATGCTAAATTTTATAAGAAGTAACAGTGTTCCAATAGTTAATAAGAAGGGTTAGATTGAGAGTGTTGTCCTGCTTCCAGCCTACTTGAAAAGTTACCATGTGATCTGTGTGCTGTCAAAATGGATTGTAACAGGTCTAGCTAAGTTTGGTTGGTTTGTGAGACAGTGATTAGGAGTTTATGGGGATTTAACATGCTGTGGGGCTCCAAGTGCATGTCAGTCCATCCTCGTGGGCATAGGCTACTTTGAAATAACAACCTAGGCATTAAGAGACAAGATTCTCTAACTCAGCTCATCGGAGCCAGGAGACCCTCGCCTCAGTGGACACCCCAGGACCCTGAGCGTCTCACTAGACCAATAAGACACTCCCTGGTACCAGGCATGAACTTTCTGTCATTAATCTTTTTAAATTATCAAATGTAACCAATTATAATGTGGTAATAACGCTGTACCCCTGCAAATCCCTAATTAAAGCAAAGCATAAAATGTAAAATTCTGGACTATCATTTCCACATGTTCGTACTCAAAAAGTTGGAAGGCTTGGTTCAAATTCATTAAAAATTAGGAGGTTTTTCTTGAATTAATCAAGTGAAAGAAGACTACTTTCGATTATCATTACTATTTTACAAATGTTTGATAATCAAATTGTGTTAGTTCAAACAATATTTAAATGTTGAAGTGAACTATTCATTTTTAATTAACTGTGAAACAGTAATAATGATTTTTAATCCTCATTCAAAGTGAAATCAAGTTGGAATATGTTACAGAGTAATGATTCAATTTCTTGATCGTCTGTTTGAAATGAGCAAGTTGTGTAAGTTGGTCAAAGTTCAAGTTTCGGTCAACTGCAAGTTTACTGAAAAAGAAATGTCATGTTTAACTTTTACAGCAAGATACTAGAGAATTGACTCCACGAAGTCTGAGTTCTTCATAATATCTTCTGTCTGTTCTTAAACAATCTTAATCTTTTTCCTTGACTTTTAATAACACCTTACATCACAAAAACACACCTCTGTTTTGGTCCATCGACCATTCAGAAAGTTCTCAAATGAACCGGAAGTGAGCTTTTTTAAAAGGTGCAACACTTCCTAGTTCACAAGTTCTGAAGAGGTTCCAGCTCCAGTCGAAGTCCTGGAGAGCTCAGTAGTTCTGAGAAGTTCTCGGCAGTTCTGGGAAGAATGCTGAGGAGAACGCTGAGAGAATGCTGTGAGTTGGTTCCGAGAGCAGCAGAGTCCAGAATGCTCAGGACATCTGCGACTAAGCTGGACGAGAGAAGTTCAGAGGAATTATGAAGTCTGTTCTGGATGATCTCACGACTCCGAACGGTTCCCTACTATCCTTACGGAGACGCTGAAAAGAGGCTTGAAGTGGAACTTTACGCCGGAACTGACATATCTTCAGAAAGGTAAAAAGTCGATCTTCAACCCAAAGCGTACCGTTGGGTTAAGCTGGTCCAAAGGAGCGTGCTGTTTCTGGTTATAACAGACAAATTCCCTCCCCATCTCTCTCAACTTAAACTTCATTTCCCATCTTTAAAATTCTCCTATCTGCTAGCAAATTAATCCAGAAGCAAGGGAAACAATCGCCGTATTGTTTCCTCCTTGTAAAACTAGCCTAAATAAGCTGTTGTTATTTTCAATTTTTGCCAATTAATGTAAATGTGTGATGTGTTAAACTTGATTCTGTTAATAAATGACCCACTGTCGTTGGTGAGTCAAAGATAATTAACGTCTCACGTTACATTTTTAATTATTCAATGCATGATATTATCCAGTCCAGAAAAATGAAAGAATCCGTTTAATCTATGAATATATACAGCATATGTTCATTTACAAGGTTTCGCAGCTTGGATCGAACAACACCCTGGAATCTTGTGCCTAGATTCTAAAAACTACCAGATCGTAACAAATGCAGTTCTAGAATAGGAGGTGAGCGGCCAAAATGTTAGTTTACCCGTGATTAACGATTTAACCCTGGCTACTAGGTTGAACAAGTCACGGGGTGAGACAAGGGTGTGACTAGCAAATGATGGCCGTGAACAGTCTGGGTGAATCACCTCCAACACAGCCTTAAACAGAACTAGCCTAATGTCACTCTGGGTAAAGCCCAAGTGTTAGATTAGTCCGAAATATCCCTTTGAGGAGAGGCTGCAGTGGGGTTTGGCCATAACTCATGTGGTAACTTCACTGGGTAGAAAAACATATGGTATGGTGTTAAGATATTTTTTGACTGGTCCTATGGTTTTGATCTGCTTAGAGACTGGATTATAATGAAATTATGACCTGGTTCTGACTGGATTAAACTGGGCCAGCAACTGTAAAGAGTGTCTCCCTGGGATTTCAATATCAGTCAAGAAATAGTTTAATCTGCTTGCCACATCACGTAGAAAGGCTTTTGAAGCACCGTCTCATATTTCCTAACATGTCAGTCCACATAAGATCCACTGAGATCACACTTAGCCACGCCCCCTCATACACTGACAGGTTGAGCTCCCCTTCTGTGAAGGCAAAGTCTTAGGACCCTATAAATTAGTAATGACACGAGACATCGGGGCTCTTCTTCCGGGTCTGTGAACGCGTCACAGACTGGAGAGTCTAGCACTGTAAAATTGTAATATTTTCCTGCCTTTTTTAATATAATTGATCAAATTTAATTGACGTTTCCTTGATTTATTGATAATGAGAGTTACCACTTCTGAGGGAGGTTCGAGCCGGGGGGAAAGATGTGGGCTGGAGGGGGTTTCCGGATCCGGTGGCCAGCAGCCAGCTCCCGTCTTTAACAGTTGGTGCCGAAAGTATGGTATGGTATGGTACCATCTGAACGTGAACGTCTCTTCTACAGAATAGCAGCTGGGTTGGTTCATAGATCGATAGCAGCAGCAATTAACCAACCTTTAGCATGTCATTCAAAACGGTCCAGAGCAATAACTCAAGCTGTAGGAGTTTTTAATGCTCTGGATCTACGTTTTTGTTGTTGATGCGCCGACTTTAAAGTTCTTGAGCCCCGCTACGACATCCCATCACATCAACACTTAAGCCAAAAAGTTGTAGCAGAACTTTATGAAAAAGCTAAAACTGATTGTCAACAAGCCCTGGACCAGATTAAAGCCCGTCCCTGATGATGATGATCAAGAGATTCAACCACTTCATAACAGAAATTATGTCCGTGCAAGACGAGGTATTGTTATTTTATTATTATTATCAAATTAACTTTTTTAATTTAAAATTATAATCTTATTAACTCAATCTGTTTATCTCTTTGTGTTGTTTGCAATCTGAAGATGTCACCAAGAGCAGCTGAGTCATCTTCATCTTTAGGGAAATTATCACCTCAAGCTAAGAAGTCTGTGATGACTGAACTTTTTGGTGAACTTTTCCAGGGACAGGTGGGAAGTAGCAAGTCCCTTCAGGAGCAGGTCCAAGAAAAAGTTTGTGAGTATATAGCTTCAGGGTGCCCTTCCCTTGAAGCTGACCCTCTTTTTATTTGGTGGAAAGACAATGAGGCCAAATACAGCCAAACTGCAAAATGAGCAAAGCTCTACCTCTTTATTCCTGCTACTGTTGTTAGTGAGTGGTTTTCTCCACCGCTGGAGATAAAGTCACTGCAACTAGATCTATGCTTTTGGCAGCAAATGTGGAGCTGAGTAGGACAAGGAAAGAGCTGGATGCTGGTATTAAGAAGGCCAAGGCCACATATGCACAGAGGATCGAGGGTCAATTCACCTCACAAGACCCTGAGAGCATGTGGAGGGGCATTAAGTGTATAAAAGATTATAAAGGAAGGAGTGAACAATGCCCTAAAGACCCATCTCTGCCTGATGACCTCAACAAGTTCTATGCACGCTTCGAAGACGCGAACAGACCACCCAGTACCAGACTCACCTCACCACCGGATGAAGAGCATCTCAGCGTGACCTCAGCAGAAGTAAGGAGTACCTTCAGGAGGATTAATCCACACAAGGCCACCGGCCCAGATAACATCCCCGGAAAAGTGCTGAAAGAATGTGCCGATCAGCTCTGCGAGGTGCTGGCAGACATCTTTAACACCTCACTTACCCTGGAGACAGTTTCCACCTGCCTGAAGACAGCCACCATCATCCCAGTCCCAAAAAGCTCTACAGTGACTGGTCTGAATGACTATCGGCCAGTGGACCTCACCCCGATAGTTGCTAAATGCTTTGAAAAACTGGTCATGACCCACATCAAAAGAGATGGACAACAGATGGAGGTCGTTAACAAATCTGGGTGAGTCACCTTCAACACAGCTTTAAGTGGAACTAACCTAAGGTCACTCTGGGTAATACTCAAGTGTTAAGATTTAGCTCGTAATACCCCTTAGAGAAGAGGCTGCAGTGGGGTTTAGCCATAACTCAGGTGGTAACTCCCCTGGGTAGATTGAGAATGCAGGAAAAAAAAAAAAAATATATATATATATATATTGGTCTTGGGGGGGGGGCGCAAAACAAGGCTGTCAGAGTTGCAATGAGATTATGTTAGGTGGGTGAATGATCTGATCTGACTGTTGATTGCAGTAATCCACATTCTTAGCAGAAATAGAAAGCCCCAAACAGAATTTTGCTTAGGGACCCATGGAGGCTTGGGCCGGCCCTGATATTTTTTCAATAAAATCTGTACAATGCTTTATTAGATATTTGGCTAAGAGACTGTGTTGACTCTTTGTGTTCATCTGTTAGCAAAATATATCCCATGAGCTAATGGACATATTTTAATGAACCTCTCAGGAAGTAATGGATGTACCAAGTTTTGGAGTCAACCCAATTGATGACAGCTAATCAACATTAGTAAATACAAAATGGCTCAAATTCAAAGTTACAGATATTGAGATATAATTTGATGTTTTGTTACCGAAAAGTCATTCTCAAAACATGCTTTGGGCACTATCAGATCATATCTAAGCTCTTGTAATAAGTCACCCACATAGATGGACCTGAGCAGAAGCTGCAGGTCTGCATGAGACCCGAGGAGCTGCTCACCTCATGCAGGGCCTTGGCATCCTGCAAATTCTGCATGCTGACCTTGAAGCCATATGAGTTGGCTATACTGGGCCCCTCAATCTGGGAATGCTCTTTCTTTGGCATAGTTAAAGCAGCAAACTGGTTCTGTGGAGGAAAAGCAGCCGATGAGCAGCACAACGAAGACAGCACTGGTGGATCACAAGAATGAAGAGACAGCACAGACTTTGATGTGTCCCACAAGCAATACCTTGATCTGAGTACCGAGTAATACTCTTCTCAAAGGCTCAGCCAGATTCCTTCTTTCTTGGTGGCGTCTCAGAGAAGCAGAATCCTCTGCGGCAGAAGCAAAAAAAAGGGAGAGTAAATCAGGGTTCACACTGAGTCAAATCAGAAGAGATTATGCACAGACTAAATATTTTGAAGAAAAAAAAAATCTGAGTTTGAAATTTTCTGAAAAATTAAACATGCAGGGTGATTCATGCTGCGAGTGCTGTCTTTTCTCAGTTCACCCACAGCTTCTCAAGTTGTGTTTATTTGTCATATGCAACGTTAACACAGGGTTAACTGCACAATGAAATGCTTAGTATGAAAAGAACAGATCTGGCTCGCAAAAAAATCAAAGAACAAACCAACAAGAAATACTATAGCATGCAATAAGTGCACACATAAAAAGTATCAAAAAGTGAAAAAGTAATTATAATATTTACAACGTCCTAAAGAGAGATACTGAACAACAACAACATGGCAGAATACAATGGTGCAGCAGGTTGAATTTGAATTAAATAAGTATTTCAAGGTAGTAATATAAGCTAAAATAACAAAGCCCATGCTCAATAATCCAGGTATAAAATCCAACATTTTTCAGTCAGGTCATCTGGACAGTTTCTTTTTTTTTGTGCTGAAACGTTTTGCCTTTGATCCAGAAGGCTTCATCAGTCAAGGAAACACACAAGAAAACTGATTCTTCCCCTAACAGCTTACTCCAAAGTGGAACAAACCAGTTCTGCTTGTGATAAGATGGTCTCTTTGGTACGCCCCCTTCTCCTTTGTTGGCCCTCTTACTTGTTGACAGTCTTGTCAAACTGGTTGAAAACAACAAAGTCCATGCTCAATAATGCAGGTATACAATCCAACATTTTTCAGTCAGGTCATCTGGACAGTTTGAAACTGTCTAGATGACCTGTACATCTGAATGACAACCACAGCTGGGGCAACACCATCACCAGCCTGATAAGCTCTTCAGAGACTTTACTTCCTCAGGCGGCTGAGACGAGCTGGTCTGAGAAGCTCAGTCCTCACCTCCTTCTACAGGTGTGCAGTGGAGAGCATCCTGTGCTCCAGCATCAACGTGTGGCATGGAGGCTGCACAGTTGCAGAAAGAAAAGCTTTGCAGAGAGTGGTGAAGGTTGCACAGAAGATGTTTGAGTCAGTCTCCCCACCATCACCGACATCTACACCTCCAGATGCAGGAAGAGGGCCACCTGCATCATGAAGGACCTCACTCACCCAGCACACACACTTTTTGCCCCACTCCCCTCAGGAAGGAGGTTGAGGAGCATTAAGTGTAGAACCACTAGACTGAGGAACAGCTTCTACCCTGAGGCTGTTAGGTTGTTTGTTTGTCTTCCGGTAAGATGGCGCCCGTGTGCATGGCTTGCAATCCACCTCTGCTGATGGTGTTCGGATTATTTCTGTTTTGTTTGCTTTTTTATCTGTGGCATGAATTCACTCCTCATGTATGACCGACAACAGCTTCTGGATCTTCGTTTTTCTGTCACTGAAGTCGCTTATTTCGACAAGTATGAGAGTACCTCTGGACCCCCCCCCCCCCCCCCCTGCTGGCGGACGCGCCAGCTTACCTCCGCTGGGCTCCTCACCTGCCTGCCCGGAGACATCGCTTCAGACGCCGGGGAAAACGTGCTGGGCAGCTGGTGAAGATTAAAGCCGTGCGCACTGCATCTTCCTCTTCAGCTGGCGGTCATGGTCTCCATCTCCAGCTTCCCGCATGCCCGGACCAGCTAACCAACGGGAGTTGTCAGCCGGTGCACTGCTCGGGCCGACCTGGAGGGGCTGTTATTGAAAATCTGCGGCCATTAGCGCGCGCAAACTCCACCACTGCTAGCTCCACTTTGGACAGTATCTGGATGTGTTTGGTCAACGCAAGATCTGTTACCAACAAAACATTTATCCTCAGGGACTACTTTCAAAAGCACGAGTTGGACTTTTTCTGTATCACAGAGACTTGGATGTCTCCGGGTGAGTCCAGCACCTTGACGGAATTACTGCCACCGAACTGTTTGTATTTTAACGCCTCGCGGCCATCAGGCCGGCGCGGTGGTGGATTATTAATAATATTCAAATCAACTTTTGACTGTAAACAACTGCCCATCCCAGTTTCCCGCGCCAGCTTTGAGCTGAGCGTCTTTGAACTCGGACATTCACCTCCGACGTTATTTGCACTCGTCTACCGCCCACCTTGATCTAAGGATTTCATAAATGAGTTTTCTGATTTCTTGGCTGAAATCACACCAAAATATGATCATGTTTTCATTATTGGCGACTTTAATTTGCACGTGTGCTGTCCTGAGAAGCCCTTGGTTAAGGACTTTTTAGATCTATTGGAGTCATTTAATTTAACTCAGCATGTAAACGGTCCCACACAAGAGCGCGGACATACACTGGACCTTGTTTTAACTCATAATATGACTGTTAATAATCTTGTTATTGGTGATAATGTTTTTTCAGACCACATGCTAGTACAGCATGAGTTCACCCTCTCCCATCTAACTCCTAAGCCGTGCATTCCTACACGTAGCACCCGGACCATTAACCATTTCACTGCAACACGTTTCACAGATGTTTATAACTCTGAAATGATAATTCAGCCCCCGGTGTTTCTCTCTACCACTGAGGAGCTGACATCCCAGTCAAACTCTGTCTGCTTAAAGACTCTGGATCATGTTGCGCCTGTTAAAACCAAAAAAATCAAAACTCAGAGCAGAACCTTGGCTGAGTGACGTCACCAAAGCCGTTAGGCAGCAATGTAGGAGGGAGGAACGAAAGTGGAGGAAAGACAGGCTGCAGGACTCTTTTCAAATACTTAAAGAGAGTTAGCGCCGTTATCAGAAAGCAGTGAAAGCTGCAGGAGGGAGGAACGAAAGTGGAGGAAAGACAGGCTGCAGGACTCTTTTCAAATACTTAAAGAGAGTTAGCGCCGTTATCAGAAAGCAGTGAAAGCTGCTAAATCCAAATACTTCTCTGATATAATTACCTCAAACTCTCGCAACTCCACAGCACTGAAACTGCCCTGCTGAAGGTCTTTACCAACATCTTCAGATCCACAGATACTGGTGATTCTGTGCTGCTTGTACTGTTGGACCTCACGGCCGCCTTCGACACCATCGACCATGAGATCCTCATTGCTAGGTTAGAGCAGTGGGTGGGCGTCTCAGGGTCAGCCCTCATTTGGTTCAGATCCTACCTCACTGACAGATCCTTTTGTGTCTCCATCAAGGATTTTAGTTCCACAGAGGCAGAGCTTAAATGGGGGGTTCCGCAGGGGTCCATCCTGGGTCCCCTCCTATTCTCTTTATACCTACTTGGTGCTATTTTCCAGAAACACAACATGCCCTTCCACTTCTATGCCGATGACTGTCAAATTTGCTTCCCCCTAAGACAAATTTACTTCCCCCTAAGCCACAATGGTACATGCTCGATTCAACCGCTGCTCGACTGCCTGGCTGACATCAGGGACTGGATGGCTTTAAACTTCTTAAGTTTCAATGAAAAGAAGTCTGAAGTCATGTTGTTCCCTCCCAACGACACGATCACAAACCACTGCATCGACCTCTCCACTCTAACCCTGTCAGAAAAACAGAGTCACTATTCTGGGCGTGATAATGGACCCTTCCCTGAAACTTAATCATACAAACATGATTGTTAAATCATGTTTCTTCCAACTGAGGCAGCTGTCTAAACTGAAGCCCATACTGTCCAAAAAGAACCTGGAGACAGTAATACATGCATTCATTACATCTAGGCTTGATTACTGCAATTCACTCCTGTTTGGTACCAGTCAAACCTCCAATGCACGACTACAACTGGTCCAGAATGTAGCAGCCCGATTTTTAACCAGTACAGGCAAAAGAGAGCACATTACACCAGTTTTGGCCTCACTGCACTGGTTACCGGTTCACTTTCGAATCCAGTTCAAAATACTGATGTATGTCTACAAATCACTGAACAGTCCCCCCCCGCCCCATCTCTCTCTCATTTTGTTACATTTGAGCTGGTGAGTTTGCATTCACACTGCACTGTGCAGTCGAGTCAACCTGTTGAACCAACGTGTTCCCCCACTCGCCTGTGGGGGCGCTGCACCAAGAACTACTGAAAGAAACAACACAAAAACCTCTGAAGACACTTCTTCTTCTGGAAATAAAAACAAAAACAGAGTGGCATCAGGTTTTAACAGTTTTAAGAGTTATAGTTTGTCATTTTTCAAAAATGGACTCAGCATGAGCAGAAGATGAGGCAGAAGACCATGGAGAATATTGCTCTTCACACAAGGCAGCTGACGGCTCCATATGAGCTAAGAGAAATGCGTGTTTGTTTGTCCAGCGCTGTACTCCACTTCCTGCTTGTGGAGCGGGCCCGGTCTGATTACATTCACACTGCACTCGAACCGCGCTGGAGTTCGCTTCTACCGGACCGAGACCTAGGTTTTAGCCCGGGCCAGAGTTCGCCTTTTTGTTCCGTGACAGAGTTTGATGGCACGTTCACACCTCCCCAAACGAACCGGGCTTTCTAGGAAAATGAGCTAGAGTTCGATTAAAGTGGACTAAACAGGGCTGGTGTGAATGCACCCTAAGACTCATGAATCTCTAACCAGGATAATCACTGTGAAAAATCACGTGTTGCTGCTGATCTGTTTCATGTTGCTGCTGATCTGTTTCATGTTGTGTTCATTCATGCTCATCTGCTCACACAGACTCATGTTTGTGCTGCTGTTCGACGTAATGTTTTTATGCTATTAGTGCTTAGTGTGTATTTAGTTGATGTTTTTCTTAGTTTATATCTTAGATCTTATTACTGTTTTTCTTTTATTTTTATTGTTGGATGTAACTGGGACCCTGCGTACATAATCTCGTTCCACCACATGTACCACGAGATGCGAATAACAAATAAACCTCTCTGAATCTCCGAAAGTCGACGTGGTCATTGAAAGTGACATCATTGTCAGCTGTCCCAGATTTGCAGGTGCCTTTCTGCTGTTTGGGCTCACCTCAGGTATCCTAAAGCACTTACCAACACTTTTGAATGTGTTAGAAGATTTT